TAAACAGTAAACAACGATTACCTTTTACAAATCATATATAAAAGGGAGTTTTCATCCTTTCTAGAAACTCACTTCCTGAACTTTTGAGCGCAAATGTAATGTATTAAAAATGTATATCATATTCACAGCGGTTAATACCATTAATATATCGCGGGCGAAATACAAAACAAAACAAAACAAAACAAAACAAAACACGAGAATTTTAAAATGTTTTGATTTGCAAATAAATAAATAATATTTGATGTCATAAAAATTTTTAAATTTAACTCAACACAAACTGGTAAGTTCATGACATGTATAATTTCCTTATATATTGTTATATTGCAATTCTGTACCCTACTCCTTTGAAAATTGTTTGTAATTGCATATGATGTGAACATGTGGTCGTGTATTATAGTTGTGTCATGAATTTAATAATACCCCAATGGCTTCGAAATAGACAATGGATGGAAAAAGTCATGAATATTGAACTTATTTACCCTTTAAACACTTGATCGTCATGCGCATACAGTGTATTGTTTGTTTCCAGAACCCCCTCAAGCAGACTTCAACTTTTTTTGTTAAATGGTATATTTTGCTTCATACACTGCATGTGTGTGTGTTTGTGGGAACACTCATGTTTGGATGCTTGGCATAGGTTAATGGTAATTTCATTGGAGTCATCATGGATATAGTTGTATATTCCTGAAAATACCTCTAAACACCTAAAACAGCATTCCCTAAAATTTTAATTGTTTTCTTACATTGCCCTATATCGCTCAAACTCGCATTGCTTAAATTGCAGATTTTGCTTAAATCACCTAAAATTGCTTAAACTCGCATTATCTCGTTATCGTCCCAGAGTAGGGCCTACTGTTGCCATTGCTTTTTAGTCCCCAATACTTCAGTGAGTCATGCTTTGGAAATGACAATAATTTTTTATTACCCAACCCTTGAGTTGTTTTGTTTTTCATTTACCCAACCTTTTACTTACTCAAAATTTAGTTTACCCAACCCTTTTCTCTTCGGTGCCACCCCCCATCATAAATAATGACCGGTCCCTAACGGCTCGTTGATGTTGTGTCGTGTTTTCAGTTGAAGCGGCGACACGAAATAGGTGTTTGCCAACTCGTCGAGAAAAATTCAACATATTGAAATTATCACGATTATTATTTTAATGATCTAAGACCTGAATATTTATTCCCCATACTTGTGGAAGTTCGTGGATGATACCACAGCATCGGAAATTCTTTCCAAAGGCAATGTTAGTACAGCCCAAAACATAGCAGATCATAAGCAATGTCAGATGAAAATAGATTAAAGCTACATCCAGACAAATGTAAAGAATTGAGAATTTCTTTTAGTAAGGACCCAGTTGTTCTAGATCAAGTCATACTTAATGGTAAAGAAGTCGAAATAGTCGAAAGTGCTAAATTATTGGGAGTAACAATAAGTAACAATCTAACTTGGCATGCCCATATAAAAGAGGTCGTCAAAAAAGCCAGTAAAAGACTATATTATCTGGTTCAATTAAAAAGAGCTAGGTTACCAGTTAAAGATCTTGTGTTATTCCATACGTCTTGCGTTAGATCTGTCATGGATTACGCAGTACCAGTCTATTATCACTCCCTTCCACAATACTTAAAGAACGAATTGTTTCGACTGGAAAAAAGGGCTATTTCAATAATAAATCCGGGAATGGACTACTCTGCAACGGGAGAAATTTTGAACATCAAACCAATAGAAGAATACCACAATTTCTTATGCAAAAACTTGTTTGATAATGTTGCAAAGGATCCAAACCACAAACTTTATGACCTTCTCCCACAGAAACATAACTGGCACCACGATCTCAGAAATGGTCATGAATTTGAAATTTCTCATTTTAATACTAATCGTACTAAAAACTCTTTTATATTTGCGATGGCATCGAAGATGTCTTCGTAACGTTAGTGGTATCTTTTTTATTATCATCCTAGTAAAATTTTAAAATATTTGCATAATTTTAACTTAATAATTATAATAGTAATTAAATAATAATTCGTATTTTGTAAACGTTACGTAATTCAACCTTTGGCTGCAATGCAAATGTTTTATTAAACTAACTATCAAGAGGCCTAAAGGATATTTAAAGAAGACAACTGAAATTGCCTAAATAACCTTTAAAGCACCGACTAAGTACAAGACGCTCTACGGAGAGTTAACTCGCTGGGGGCAATGAGGCTATACAAATACGCACATTACTGTACATGATACATACAGTACACAATTTCAATTAAGATTTAATGTTTTCCCCGAGCTAAGCGAAAAAGTCGAATACGAGCGCGAAAGGCTTAACACAGTAAAATATCCAAATGGCCATCCCGCCACGGATCGATCACTGATTAACCATTGGGGAAAAGGAAGGTCCATTGTTTCCAAATGAAACACGAAAATGGATCCGCAGCAGAAAGCCACAAGGATGGGAAATAGAAGGGTGGGAGGGTGGGCGTTTTACAACACACAAGAGTAAACAACACCCTGACGCAGACCCCTCCTTCTCGCCTCCTCCCCCCC